TCGAGAGCGGCGTTTCAAACTCCGAGCTATCGCTCTCGCCCTAACGACGTACTGTCGGAGATGTCGGAGAACGCGAGGGAAGAAGACGAGTGCTCGAGATGGCACCATGGATGTTACGCGACTACCATATTCCACTATCCGGGTCGTAAGTGTGTCTTAGAAATACTACGAAAGGAGAGAATGGCGAATCCCTTCTCCCGAAGATGATTTTCCCTCTCGTCCGTATTACGACTCCGGGCTCTAAGTCGCGGTATAGGTCATTGGTGGATGGGTTCATGGGAACTCGCGCATCTGCTCGAATAATGAATGCATCGCGAATGAGGATCGAGAGTATCAAAAGGGAACGTCCGTGGCTCCCCTTTTTATTCCTAGTTCCAATAAAACTCGATCGTGAACGGTCGATCGTAACGATAAATCTTTCCCTACATCTGTTACAACACGTTTGCTGAAATCACTTCTCGAGCTACAGGCTTTGTTCTAATTTCTTACGACCGATCTATCGATTTTTTTTACGAAATAGGAATTCAGGAAGTTTAAAGATTGCGTTTCTATACATAAGCCCGAGGGAAGTGCATGGAACAGAAACAAAAGCATATAAAGACAACAGACCTCGTAAAAGATGAATACCATCCCGATGATTGCGCGAGCATTTTCTATGGAAGTCAGTCTACTTTATGGCACCAGTAAACACCATAATTACATTTTTACGAGGCGACATCAGGCGTTTTCTTTTTGTTACTCCAGGTGAAACTCGTTTGAATTTTACAGCGTTGTAACAATGCGACTCCTGCGTTCGTCCGGAGTAATTCAATGCCTACGTCCTTACACGAAACGCGCGACGTTGTACCATTTTAACGCTCTGCTTAAAAAGCTTACAACTTTAATAAAAATATTACAATCTATTACTTTCTACTTTTAATTTTTGCAATGTAGAATCGCTTTTGATATTAAATGCCAGACGTGATTAAATAAAGCGTAATTTGTAGCTAACAAATAAGTTATACGATTACTGATTATAATTATTAACATTACGAGTAAAATATTTATAATTAAGATACATCAATAAATATTATTTATTGCATGGAGAGAAGATAGCGCTATATAATTAGAAGTGTAATATTATTCTTAATTAGTGCCTAACATCTAATTTAATTATATTGAATTTAGGTGTCAAGTTAGGAATTAAGTAACGATTATTACGGGGTGCTGATTATAAATTTCACGCTGACATTTGAAGATCACTCACGATTTCTGTACGGCAAATCGTGTTGCTTTCTGTAGACCCGGAAATCATGTTGATGGTTCAGACTAGATTCATCCCTGGCGTTGCCGAAAGTATAATCAGGGGAGGCGTAGAAATAGCTGGATCGGCTCATTCTCCTCGGAGGCATCCACAATCGCCGGTGTGATAACCATCCGCTTCTCTCCACATCGTTGCTCCTTTTCCTCCTCGTCATGGCATGTCTGGAAGTAAGTATCTGGTAGCCGCGAGCTCGGATTAAATACGAAAATGATTATTAAGTTGTCGGAGGAAAGTCGAGACCTTCGAGATGCAACGCTTATCTGTCGGTTAAATGTATTACGGCTACAGACGGATTATGAATGCCGTTTCTTTGATACATTACGCAAACGCTGAAAAAGCGAGTTGCAAATACTGTTATGTCAAATACGATTAATCCTCTTGTTAGCATAAAGATATTTACAAGCATGCGTGCGATGTGCGAAACCGTTGGATTAAGACACGATAAAAGTATAAAATGATATCTATAGTTTTTTACAAATGATAATTTTATTTATCCCAGGTAGCATCTGTTGATTTCACATGTTTTTTAAACATGTGTTATGTTTTATAAGCATAAAGCATCGATAAGGAACGTTTTGATAAGAAATTATAATTTCCGAAACCATAATTTATAAGAATTTTTCACGTTTTTACTGATAAGAAAAATTAATCTTTTTAATTTAATTCGATTTTATATAATTAATGTAAGAAGCAAATATTTAATTGTGTGATATTATTTGTAACATTACAAAAATATGTACCACTTTGATATCTGTATACATAGATATATTTATTTCATTTATTTTTCGCAAAGCAAACTGTTAAAAAATTTCATAAATTTAACTTTTATAAAAAATTTTTAAAATAGATATAATTCTATAATTATAATTTTATTTTTCTATAATTTCTATACATACATAATAATAATATGAATATATATTAATTAGAATAATATATTAAAATTAAAATTAATGTCAAATTGTACCTTAAAAACAAACAAAAAAATTACAAAAAAGTTGACACGTAATTGAAGCCAAAAAAAACAAAAATTTACAAGAAAATATTATATTACATATTTACAGTAACAGTTTTGACCCTGATTTAGTATTATTTAGTATTTGTTTCTTATCGATTTGAAAATCTTAAGAACTTTAATAATTTGTATTTGTATTTATTTAAAAATAATGATATCACATATTTTAAAAAAATATATATATAGAACTAGTGAATAATAATTAAGAATATATCTAGATACTGCTACTATTATATATATTTATTTGTCTATGTTATAAAAACAATATTAAATTAATTAAACTTTTTTAAAATTTGCATTTTTAATTCAAGATTTTTTTTTTTAGAAATGATAAAATACACAAATATGGAGTGAATTGTAATTTCAATAATCCAACTGTCAGCGTACGCTTTTTCGCTCAGCAAAATGTTGCGATAATTGCGTCAATATGCCTCGATAATATCGCGGTTACGCACGCGGAATGTTATTTGGTACAAAAACATACTCCGTTAACAAATCCATAATTGGTTCCTGTACGCAATAGAAGAAAAGAGAAATTTCTAAATCCATATGCAATTAAACAGTTCATACATTACATATCCTCAAAAATTTTACAAATTAAGAAACTAAGAAAATTATATTAAAATTAATTTCTAAATTATAAGAATCTTTAAATAGTATCTTTAAAAATCAAGATAATCAAGATAACACTAGAGTTAGACATTCTACTAATGCTTTAAATAATAATTTTTTTTATTTTAATTAAAATAAATACTCGCAGTTTTTATCCAATATTTATCTGTTCACTGAAGCAATGTGGTTCTTCCGCTCTAATTACGCAAATGTCTTCACTGTTCCAGTTAAGGATTGTACCCTCTGTCTATCCGTTATGTCAAACAACGTGGAACTCTAATTTCTTCTTTCATTTATTTCAATTTCATGTCATAATATATTTCTAATTATCATAAATAATAATTATATATATGTAATATAATTAAAAAAACGATTCTTTTTTTTCTTCAATTCTCCTCAATTTTTTTTCTCTTTGTCTCTCTTCGCGCCAACTCGAGACTGAATTGAAAGAAATTTAACTCGCGCATATCGTTTAAATACGGTAAAGTATCAGCGGATTACAGCCGCAAGAACACGAGAGTTCTATGAAGCCGATGCCATTACGATCATTGGTTCCACACGCGGCATACACACTTTTCTTCGATGACATGACATTTCGCGACTCAAGCTCATAGTCGTCGCGAAACAATCGCGCGTGCAAATTTTGCCTCTCTCTTTCTCTCTCTCTCTCTCTCTCTCTCTCTCTCTCTCTCTCTCTCTCTCTCTCTCTCTCTCTCTCTCCGTGTATTTGAATGCAACGGCACAATTCACGCTAGCTGAAACAGCTTTGTTCCGATGACTCGTTCGGCAAGCGAAGCGAGACGCTCTTTTCGATTTTAGCATAAATGCCACTTTCCACCGGAGATTAGGAGTACTTTCCGCTTTCGCACTTACTTCCTCCTATGGCCGGGGCCGAGCATTTCATAAGCAGCATCGATACTCAGACACCGAGATAATTAACAACTCAACGTTGAACTTATGAACGATGCGCATGATTACGGAAATTCACGCATCGTTGCGTCTCGCGACGACGTTTCGCAGCAATTATCATCATCTTCGCGCGATTATTGCTCTCGTAAGCTCGCGATAAACGATGAGTGATGAAGCGAATAAGTGAAGTATTACTGCGGTATTATTTTTTTTTACAGTCGTTACTATGATGTAATTATATGAAAAAAATTGATCTAATTGCTTGCAGCACGCGATTACAGTAATACGAGGTACCTGACTAGAGCAACACGTTGTTGCTTCGATACTCCTGCAACGCGCACTGTATCTCTTCGTCAAAGTTTCGCGATATTTGTGCCCTTTTACTGCACACCCTCTCCGTTTAAGTCTGCACCGTGATTCGTTATTTCCTTCCGATTCAATGCATCGGCCAGTCACCGGCGAGGCGTTGCCACACCGAAGATAGATTATCCACATGATAATCTATCATAATAAATAATTACTTATGGTATAATTATTAAAAAAATATAATTACTAAGAAATATAATTTCTTAAAAGCAACTGACATTTTATCAATTCAACGTTTTCTCCTTGCTACGTGCAATATTAGTCGTCATATCTTTCGTTACGCATACGCGTCTGCTTCACAAATGGTATTACCATATATTAAGAATCTTTACAGAAACGCATGTTTCTTTATGATTCGAAAGCGAAGATGTACATATGATATATATTTATTTTGTTTTAAGCCAGCACGTAGAAAAAAATAGAAAATCATCATTTTTTTATTCCTTTACATATATTCCTTTTCCTATATTTCAAAATAATTTAATATTTTCTACACTGAGAAAAATGTCTGGTTGAAAATGGATAAAATCAGAAGATTCTGATTATATCAATCAGAATTCTGATTATCTCAACTAAAATTTTAATAAATTTAAGCAGAAATTTAGTAGATTTAAGCAGAAAATTCTGTTTTGTCCATTTTCTATCAGAATTCCAATTAATCCAACCAAACATTTTTCTCAGTGTAAGTTTTAATTTTAATTATTTAAATATTTTATAATGTTATCTTAATATATTTAAATATCTTATAATGTTAATACTTTCTAGGTTTAATTATTACATTAATTATTACATTTTAATTATTACATTATTTAAATATTTTATAATATCATAAATATAAATTTTGACTATTTAGAGATATAATAGCAAATTAAATATTTCGGCGAAATCTAATTTTATATATTGAAGTAAATTTTTAACTTACCAAACGACGTATAAATAATTTTCTTTGTTGAGAATAAAAATATAGAAATATTGAAAAAGTTGAAATAAATTACAATTGTAAATTATCTCGTACAGGGGAGATGTAAATTTAGGCTGCGACAAATGAATTATATTCTATGTATTGAATTATTTATATATATTATTTTATATTTTTATATGTTATTATATATTATTTTATGTACATATTATTTCCGCTTTTGAAATAATATATATTTATTTATAAAAATAAGTTGAGTAAAAATTATGAAAGTGAAAGAAATTCGTGTTTCACTAAATCATAATTTATTAACAGAAAAATGTATAGATCGTATCAGATGTGTTACGTTATATCAATAGAAAATATTTTAAAATTTTCAATAGTTACGCTAACTTTCTATTGGGTGTATAAATTAAAAGTATCTTACTTTTGCTATTGAGCCATACGATACGGTCTATTGCATATTCGTATCTAAAAATTATTTGATGATAGAAATTTAAAAGTTTGCGTTACATAAAATACTTAGTATTGATTCGAATCTACAGAATTATATAAAAATGGTAAATTTACTAAAGTAAATTTACTAGTTTATTTCTTTTTACGTATTTTAAACGAAGTATATATTTAACTGAACCAGATAAACGTGAAACTCTGATCTTTAATTCTGACCTTTAACTTAATTGACGCGAATTTGATTTTTAACTCACTCACTAAATTTCTATGAAAAGATTCTTACTTACTTACTTACCTACTTACTACTATACATAATACACAGTTACACTAATTAATAACAAAGTTTTCATTGTCTTATCTCTTCTTTTTTTTTTTGATAGACTATCTTTCCCTTGAGAGAACATTATCGTAAATATTATTACTCAAATAATCAGATTTGGTATAAAAATTAATTGTTAATTATTATCTACATAAATACAATAATATTGTTATAAATATTTTAGTAATACTTTTTAAATTATTTTATTCTCAAAACTAACGTTTAATTGCGTTAAAAAATAAATAATTTTAGTAATTTTAAAAGCAGACTTTTTTACACATTCTATATATCGAGTATTGACATTTTGTTTTTAAATAAAAAAA